AAGACAAATTCCTTGTGTGTCCAATCACACTTGGCCAATAAAGAATTTTCTTCTGTTCTTTTCTAATTTTAATTCTAATTCAATTCTCTTCCCTTCCCTTCCCTTCTATTCTATTCTTTCCTTATTCTAATTCTATTTCTCTTCTCTTCTAGTCTCTATCCCATCCCATTCCATTCTATTTCAATTATATTCCTATATCTTTCTATTCTATTCCATTGTTCCCCATGACTATCACTAAGTGTTGCACCTGATAATTCTTGACTCTTAACAAATGTCTCTTTTCTTTGATGTACAGCGAGAGCCTTTGCACCAAAGACAAATTCCTTGTGTGTCCAATCCCACTTGGCCAATAAAAGAAATCTATCTATCGAACTATCGATAGAATTCTTCTTCACACAGAACACGATCCACCCACTTAATGATTGACCCATTTCCTCTACCTGGAAACACCCAAGCCAACTTTTAATGGCCCAAACAAGTTCACTGCGGTCAAATCCAACTACAAGCTTGCTACCTCTGTTGGCCAGGCACAACATTAGCCACGGACACCTCAAGAGATGCAAGCAACCAACCAAGAATTGGACCACCACTTGTCTGAAATGGTACAGGGTCTCCTGCCTGAGCAGAGGGTTGGACTAGAGGACCTTAAAGGCCCCTTCCAGCTCTGTTATTCTGTTAGAGAAGAGAAGCAAAGATAATTAGGGGGCTGGAGACTAAAACATACGATGAACTGGGTTGCAGGAACTGGGCAGGGCTAGTTTGATGAAAAGGATTATGGGGGATAGGATAGCAGACTTCCAACATTTGAGGGGCCGCCCCAAAGAAGAGGGGAGTCAAAGCCCCTGAAGGCTGGAGGGGAAGCAACAGAAGGAAACTCAACAAGGAGATTCAACCTGGAACTAAGGAGAAATTTCTCGACAACGAGGACAGTTAACCAGTGGAACAGAAGTTGCCTTCCAGAAGTTGTGAATTCCCCAACACTGGAAGAGATTGGACAACCATTTGGTATAGGGTCTCCTGCTTTCGCAGGGGGTTGGACTAGATGACCTCCAAGGTCCCTTCCGGCTCTGCAATCATGCGACTCAACTTACCTGCGTCCCGCTGGAGGTCCCCGCGATGCGCATCTTCAAGATGGCCTGGATTTCTTCCTGTTGCTTCCTCATCTCTTCCTCGTCCACCTGTGGGGCGGAAGGAGGAAGATGGGAGACGCAGGCCAATGAGGGCCCCCTCAACAAACTCCACACACACACACACCCCACCCCACCTCTGAGGCTTTCCCCACCTCCTGTCCCAGGGTCAGCCCACCCAATCTGTGTCACGCCCACCGGCCCACACCGTTCTTGGCCAAACCTACACTGAAGATCTCCATGTAGCATCTGATGAGGTCTTCCACCACTTGCCCAGCCTTGAAGTCCTTGCCGTCCGTCTGGAAGAGCGTGGGCCCAAAGACAATGGCGAGGTTGTGGGTGGTCATCTGGTTCTCGTCAGAAAAACACTGGATCCTGCGAAGGAGCCAACACAAGAGCTGTGGAACATAGAGCCCATCCTTATGCGTCTGTCTCAGGACAGGTCTACAGCAAAGGTGTCCATCCTTGGTCACTTGAAGACTTGTGAACTTCAACTCCACAAGTTCAACTCCACTTTAAGACTTGTGGACTTCCAACTCCACAAATTCAACTCCACTTTAAGACTTGTGGACTTCAACTCCAGAAGTTCAACTCTACTTGAAGACTTGTGGACTTCAACTCCACAAGTTCAACTCCATTTTAAGATTTATGGACTTCAACTCCACAAGTTCAACTCCACTTTAAGACTTGTGGACT